AAAAAAAATATATAAGTGAACAGCATTACTACCACCCAGATCTGCATGGTGCCAATAGGTATTAAACATTCCAATTATGACTGCAGTAGGTCTGTATTATTGATATAACTGGTTTTCATCCAGCTTCCAAATGCATTTGTGGGGGGAAAGATAATGCATGTTTTAACATGTTTTGAAAATATCTGTAATTACATAGATACTCCTTTGCTGTCTTTTTACATATCTGCTTTTGACTCAGGGTATGAGGTTTTCTTCATGTCAATGTGGAGGTTTGTCGAGCATCATTGCTGTACTTCCAGGACAGTGAAAGCAAGCTAGCTTTCATCTGCTGTGAAGAGTCTGGATCAAAATACTCAGTTCTGAGTCCTCAAATATGCACATAGATTATGCTTCCATTACTGCATTTAAAAAGCTGTGAATTGTTACCTGTGAGAGAGTCCTGTGTCATAGGACTACTTTTTTATTCTGAATAATAATATTGAGGTTCTGTGCAGCCTTTTTCACCTAAGGATTTTAAGGCACAAAACATCAACTAACGAAGTCTTGTGATTCTCCTGCGCTGCTGTGCCAATTTTTTATGTATGGATTGCAGAATACAGATAGGATAAGCCAGTGTTGTGAGTTAGAACCAAAAAAAAGAACATAGCAGTGCAGTGAGGCCTCCCTCCCACACTCCTGCTATTGATTTTGTAATTAAGGATCTGATCTGCCCTAGTGAGGTCATGGAATTCACTGCAGTGGGATTAGTTTAGGGACTATACATTTTTAAGTCTGATTACAGTCCAAAAAACTACGCATTTTCTTATCCAACAGACCTACTCTAGTAAGGCAAACTATGATCATAAGATGACAGTTTTACATATGCTTGTGAATATAATTTTGTCCTACGGTGAGGAGACTTAAAGCAAGCAGCTACTAAATGCTTACCCCATCCAATTCCATAATAGTATAAGTGCTTGCTCTCTTCTGACCCAAACACTTTGATCACCATACTGTAAAGATGAAATCCTTCCACCAGCATCCATGCAAAAGCACTCAGGAAGAAAAAATGAAGGAGAACAGCCAAGATCTTGCAAGGCACCTAAATTAAGGAAAAAAAAAAACAAACCCAAACATTACTTCTTTGTGATGCAGTCATATTAGTTTTCCTTTTTTTTATTATTTCTGTATAAATTTACACACTAAATGCTTAATTATTGGAGTAAAACATTCTTAAAGAACAAAGCACCAGAGAATTAATTTTTCTACAGCATTTTCAGAGAGCTTCAGAGTAACAAATCCTCCCACCTTTTCACAAAAAAACAAAAAACCCTTGTCAAACATGATGTGGAAATCCAACCTGATTATTTATTTAGGCGTAAGCAATACTCCTACCAAAGTCTACAAAATACTTAAGAATTCAAAACTGGAGGGTTGACATCCTGTTGCTGAGCCTGTAGTAAATACAGGAGAGTCAGAGAAGGGGGGGTACAGGCACTCTTCTGTATCCTGCCCCTGTTCTGTGATGGTAGAAAAATCAGTATGGTTCATGCCTCCTTTTCTACAAAGAACTAGTAGGAAGTCAGTGAATCAGTTAAGCTTGAGTAAAACATGGACATTTTAAAATAAGGTGCCATGTTGAACCTGCTTTTTAGTTACACTTCGCCATGTGGCTTTCCTACTCTGCTGTTTTTCATATTAAAAATAGGATAACACACAAATTAAATCACATTATATTCCAGTATCTGTCTGTCCTGGTTAGAAATTCTGTAAAAGTCTTATATAGTCCTCCATCAGCAATACTAATACAGACATTTCAAAAAATTATTATAAAGCTATCAGTGGCTCTTGTGTCCTAATTGCTCTATGGTGAGCATCTAGTTTGCCCACCTGTTTGAATTCTCAATTTCCCATAGTCTGAAATATGTACCAGCTGTGTATGAAGTTATATTTGACAATAACACATGTAGTATTTAAGGCAAAGAACTGAGTCTTCTCTGTAGGATGTTTACAGTTCGAATCCTCCTTGATAGTCCTTTACTCACTATGTGTTGCTAAGATTCTGGAATTAGAGGCTAATACAAAAGTTTAAGCAACAGAAAAAAAAAAAAATCTAGAAAGCGAGCCCAGCTGGTGTAAACTAGACTATCTATTTCAATTTAGACTACAACAGGCTTTGATGTGAAATAATCACTAGCCTAACAGAGAGAGGAATGCCGCAACAAAGGCAATGCAGCGAGAGGTAAGAACATCCTCTTGAGTCCTGTTTGCACCCGCCTCAGTGCTGACGGCCCACTGAGCTGCAGGAAATGCAGTCAGTGCTTAGGAGCTGCGGTAGCAGCTCTCGCCACTTGTTCCTCAAAAAGATCTTTACATGGTTCTCTGAAGTCTCCTATCAGCCTACCTTATGAAAACAGGAAAACCTAATCCTTTCTTCTTCCCCACTCCTCACGTATTCGCACAGCACATTCTCCTCTCCCCACTAATTGCTTTTTGACGATGTCTCACCACAAGTTGTTTTGCTCATCATACAGAAATTGAACAGATGTGACTGCCAATGATCCTACCACGAGATAACCTTGTTTGGTTTGCTTTCAGTTAAGGCACATTTTAAACACGCTTTTGGAATGAGTCCCAGCTATATGTCAGTTTTGCATCTTGTAGCATACTGATGATGGTCATTCTGCTCTGTAGTTGTAACAACACCTACAGGATTTCAGAGGGGTTGCTTGCATGCAGTCCATGTAAATAGGAAGATGGTTTTATTTTCTTCAAGGTTGCCCTTCCTCACCTGCACAAGCCACAGTAAGGTATCCAAGCCAGGGGAGTCTGTGTGCTGAGGAAGCATTACCAGTAGAAACCAGTTTGCTGCCACAGTGGTCTTCAGATGTTAATCATTAATTAGTTCCTCTTGTGGCAGTAGCTTAGCTGCCCTGTGCTGGTATTTTATTCTTTTTGTTGATGGTTTGCGGTTTTGTACACTAAGGAAAACTAAAATGTAGGGACTTGATAGTATAATGAAAACTGAAGCTTTCCCATACCTTCTCACTTGTACTCAGCTGGTTCTGTGCTAGTGCAAGGACATTCTAATGCAAATCCATTGTGACTACACGTCTTAAAAAGCAATAACTTTGGGTTTAATTCATGTAAGTGAGATCTGTCTTAGTATTTCGCAGTCTTCAGTTACATATAACTAAATCAGATTTGCTCATTGACAAAAACTGTAAAAACCTTTCCAGTTAATTTTATCATAAGGCTATGAAATCCATTTTAATGCCTTCTGATTTCTACTAGAAGATTAGTCCATGAAAATATAAATGCAACATAAAGCTGACTTACAAGCTTGTTCTGTCAAATGGATACTTCCCAATTTTTGAGTAGCCAAACAGTATGAATCACAAAACAGCAGAAAAATAAAACATAGTAGCAGGAGGCTGATCTGTATATAATTTTGTATCATACTGAGTTGCAGATTTTTACATAAAATCCATAGCAAAGTTGCTGCTCATCCTGTATTTGTGTCTTAATTATTACTTTGAAGATACTCTTAAATGACAGAATTGCCTTCTTGAAAAACGCATGGAAAAGCTGATACTTTACTTATTAAAAACAAGCAAGTGTCCCTTGCTGTATCATACAATGCACACTGCTTTTGGTAGAATACCTGTAAAAAGACAAATCTCATTACTGTTCTTCTTACAACCTGTAGCAAGGCCTATCATGTTATAGTTGTTGAGAAAGTAAAGCAGACTCTCAGAAAATAATAGTCATTTGTTTACTGAAGATGGTCTTAAAACAGGTAGGTAAATTTGCATACGTTTTCTAAATTAAACTTATAACAGTGTTTTCGATTTAAGTGGCAATCTTACTGCATTATACAGAACCCTCTGAAAAGGTCCTTCCCTGCGCTCTATATGCTGCGTTGATACACAAGTCTTCAATTTCTGCAGCTACATATATCATAAACAAAAGTAGCTCATTTCATCTCTCTATTTGGAAGTGTTTTAGCAATGCCATGCAGGAGTACTGAGGGAGAAACAGCTCAATACACTGATGCAGAACTGCAAATAGTAGACACATTAAATTTTCCAGTTGCACCGGAAAACCACAGTGCTGCCTGGCATGCTGTACTTCAATTTTCCTTTTGCTTTGTCCAAGTAATATTTCAGTTTCTCCCACAAACATGCTCAGGTCTTTGGAAGGCTCTAATAGCCTAAAGAAGTGATGATGGTTAATTAAATGCACACTGCTTTTTGCGATTCTGTTAAAAAAATGGGGCTCCCTAGTCTATAGGCAGAGTAAGTAACTAGGAGCAAACGTCTCTGAAGAAACAAATCCATCTATTGCTGAAAGTCTAAGGGAAGTCATTAGACCGGTGTGCGGGGACACAGCAGTATAGGAAGAAAATGTTGTGTGCGAAGATACTTGCTTTCTGTAGAAGATACCCTGCTTTCAGGAATAATTGCCTTCCTGGAATATGCCATGATCAATTAGGACTACTGTTTTAGCATTAATGATGTAAGATACCAAGGACCAGCTTTTAAAAAAAAAAAAAATTAAAATATGTTCTTGGATATATTAGAAAGGTCAAAGTCCTATTCGTGAAAATAGCGTTTTGTGGTTAAAAATGACTTCTACTCTACAAAAGGAAAATTGCTATAGTATGAACTGTAAATGATTAAATAATATATCTGAAATTACCAGGTGAATACTGTATGCTGTATCTGGAATAAAAAACTAAATATCCATGGAGATGGGAAAAGGATGGAGAGTCTAAAGGCAGTCATGCAAGTAAGTGGTGCCAGCTCAGGGACTGCTTCTACGATGCCATTCCCTATTCCACTGTATGTCCTCAAGCAAACTGGTACCACTTGTCCTCACAAGCAAGGGCACTTACAAACTGTTTAGCACTAGATACACACATCTTTGGCAGAAGCAGATTAAGAAATCCACACCTTCTAGTGTAAATACTGCCTCCCTCTTTTTGTAAACTACCATTTAGCAGTACAATTAAAGCAGCAATTAAAGATACTAAAGCTGATGTCAAAGCTAGTGAGAACAGAGCATGTAAGGTGTAAGGACATGAGACTAATGACAAATCACAACATCCCCGATGTCTAGCTAAAACAATAAAAATAAAATTGTAACAGATAGTATGGACATCATGGTTTTCAACTTTAAGATCTTTATAGTATTGTGTCCTACAATTACTGCTGTTACAGTATATAACATTTCAGCAGGGTTTTAGCTCTCTACTGACTCAGAGAGGACTATTTTAATGCCTGGTTTCCATTGCCTTCAGTTTCAAGTTATATCTTTTGCTGATCTCCACTGTCTCCACTCTTTTTCTTCTAAACCATTCCCTACCATTTTCTCCCTTGCACATCATCTTACTCATTCAGGACCTGCCTGAATGTTAAACAGCAAGAGTAAGAAGTTGGTTTTACGAACTGCTTTTAGATCCTCAGGTAATAATATGTAAAACCAGACTTTATTGTTGTATATAAGCTTAACAGAAGTTCAAGGGAACCCATTTGACCAGAACATAAATTTAAGTAGCTGATGTATTGGCAAAACTAAGAGTGTGCAAACCTCATGTTTACTTATACTGAGAATAAAAAGAATGAAAGTTTAACAGAAAATGCTTGCTGCTTGTTAAAAGGAATATGGAAAAACAGCTGATCACAAAAGTAGCCAAGTTTTGTCCATTACAAAAATAGAGCACACTGGAAGATTATTTTAAAATCAGGTTTTGTTTCTTCTTTTTGCAGGTGGGACCTTCCATCAACAGACCTCATGTTACTTTAAATAGCATTTTTTAAACACAACAGCTGAAACAAATTGGTTTTACTGGTATGTAGTTAACTTGGCATATTCGTCTTAGTCTAACCCAGCTGTTCTAGATACCAGTTTTAATGGTTTAGATCCTGGTACTCTGCAAAAGCAATTCCCACCTGTAGTAGCAGATCCATAAAATCAATCTGTAATTTCAAGTTCCCATCTATGTGACCAGGCAGAAAAACCCCATACATGCACAGAGCTTAAGTACCACGTCAGCAATAGGAAGGTGATTGTCAGTTGCGTAAGTAGTTGCCTCAGATGCCCGGAGAAGTATATACATGTTTTACAATACTGAGGATCTCGGATTAAACTCTTACACAGTGATACTTAGACGTAATGCTTTCTGCCACTTCTGGCTAATTAAGCAATAGTTGCTGTACCTTTCTCATTGATTTTTACTCAGGTCAAATAAACATGAATGATACTTAAAAGTAATCTATATTTCCAGAGTAAAGATGATCAATAAATCTGCTGTTCAGAAAAACAGTGTATTCTAACACACAAATAAAACTTTATGAGCAAAAAACAAAGACCTTTCGTTTTGCTCTCCAAGAAAGCAGAAGAAATTGCCACAGCTCCATCAGGAAGCTCATTACCTTCCAACAAGAATAAGAGGACTTTTTAATGTGGAAAAGATAAAGATAAACTGTACCATAGCAGAGAATAGACAGCTAAAAAAAAGCATGCCCTCCTCCCAGCCCCGACCCCAAACTCTTAACAGAAATACAAATACCTTACCTAAATACAAAATTCATGCAAATTTCTCCAATACAGAATTCCTACAGTTTTCAGTACAGAGAATGGATGAGAGAAAGCATAAGCCTCATCAGGCAGAATTCAGCCACGCCATTTGAACACACAACTGAAATGTACTCCATTACTATGGTGATTTTTCCATTTGATGGGTGCATATCTGTCTCAGTTTTGCAAACATCCAGACATGGACAGATGTTATGATAACACTATTTCGATACACAGAAGGCTTTATCTAGTGTTGCAGGATGTCATTTTTGGCTGAGGAATGTTAAAAACAGGAGATCTTGCATGCAAGACGCTTTCTTGCATGTGGCATGTTGCCTTCCTTCCATGGAGGTGCCTTGCAAAAACCACAATCGCTCTTTTTAGCACTTACCGTTCCAGGGCTGAACTGAAAGCTGGTGAGAAGCAGGATCTGAGCCACCAAGACAGCAAAGGACAGATTGGCATGAATATGATAGCGCTGGTTGCGGATGGTGCTGACAGACCTGGCAGAAGATAGAAAGACACATGAATAAAGCAGTATTCCAAGAAGCATGAATGTATTTATGATTTATCAGCAAGCATTTTGATTGGTTTTTGGTCACTCATTTTGGTGAGGTTACCGTGATGTTTTCTGAATACTCCTTCCACCAGGATGGAGTCATACCTAACTGGTTTCTTGCATATTCTGCTGCTGTCCTGATTTGCATGTTAACTACCTCTGTTAATGACTTATGATAGAATATTAACAAAGAGATGGATCCTGAATGGTGCTGAGCTGTCAAGGAAGTCAGATCTGCACCTCTCAGAAAGCGTACTGCATCTTGCACCATCTAGCCCACGCTGTGCCACAGGGTTTCTGGTTTTATCTTGTTGATATTTGCCTGTATTAGAAATCAGTAAACAAGAAAAGACTCTGGTTACAAGCTTGACTTTACCATTGACAGCTTTTGAGCACAGGAACTATAGCTACTGATTTGGATGGGCAGTGCCTATCTTGACAGAGACTTGACCTTGGTTACAGCATCATTTGAACCTATCTCTCTTGGCTTTGCAAAAAACAGCTGGAAAACTGACAAGAACATGCTTTCCTGGGAGTCTTCTGACCTCGTGTTTCTGTTCTCATCCAGAAATAGCAAGTAGAAAACAAACAAAAACATGTATCTGAACATTTCAGGCCTTTTGCATAATTTTATCCTTCTCTTTAAAAAAGAACAGTACTGGTGATAACAGGTTTTCTATCTCAATCCATACTGCCTGCCCACCCCTACCATCAGCTTCAATCATTTCGGGAGACCTGGACCATTTAGCTGTGTGAATGGCAGCGCTTCTTCCACACAACAGTACGCACTCCCATCTGCTCGTTGAATTGCGCTGGATGGTGATGACTTTTGCACCCGGTGGTGACACATCGCGCGTGCCCCCTGCAGCTGGGTGACGCAGACTGGGCAGTGCAGATGATGGCTTGTTGCCAGCCCTGCTCTTCCAGCACTCTTGTAGCCAGTGCTCCATTAGAAGGGAGTGAAGAGGGAGACAACAAGAAGTATTGATGTCCTAAAAGTAATTCAAAGAGACAGGTTGCACTGCCTGGTGCCTATGGCTTTCTAATACGGAACTTCATGTAGTCGCGAACTGGAGCATTGTTACCCGGAAGGCAGTCAGGACTGCCCTCCTGGGAAGCGGTCGTTGTTGCCAGTACGTGGAATAGCAAAGAACTTGCCAGATTCCTCTCCACTTACCTCACGGTCATCTAACGCTATATTGCAAAATTTCACTTCAGCTGTTTAATGAGGCCCTGCTCTCCAGTGAAAACCTAATCAAATTATTTTTAATTGGCAGTTTGAATGATCCTGTATGTAGGTGGGGTGCTTAACCCTGTGACAGTCAGCTGGGTCCAAGGTCTCTTTCCAAGTCTTCTGTTTGCCTTCAGTTTCTCAAGGAGTTTGCAGCCCAGCAGCAGCAACACCGGCTCCTTTTGCTCCTTTTTCCTTTCTAAACACTCTAGCATCCAGTTTTGCACTCAGGCAAAAATGGAGCAGATCATTCCCCTTAGCCTAAATGTGCCAACAGTGCAATGACAGATAGGCAGACGTTGGACTTTCTTAGAGTGGATTTTGCCACGCGTAACACAATCCAAGCATGACCAACACAGATCTTGACACTTGGAAATAATATGGGATTTGGAACAAACATTGCAGTTGGTTTACTGGGTTTCGGCAAGTCCTTTTTCCTAGAAACTAGCCTCTTAACAGGATGTCCAAAAGACATGCTTAGGCACAGAAATAAAAAATTGAACCCTTTGAGTAGGAAGAACATGGTTTAGCGTGCAAAAGGAGACGAGTCCCATTCCTTGCTGTGCTCCCAATCTGCTGTGCAACCTCAGACAAGTAACTTCACCCTTTGTCAGGTTTTCTACTTTTTATTTAGACAGACCCCGCTATGAAAGGTTTTTCATAAATCTTTGTATCAAGCCTAGCTGGGCCTCAGACTTAGTCGTCACTACTGGAACATAAACAGGCATACAGACCCTAAGTGTCCCATGGCAGAAACCTTCCCAGCACAGGGAGCCCTCGAAGGGGCTGCCGTGTTACAGGCAGGAGGCTGAAGAGATCCGGAGATTTAAACATGAGCCATGGAGTGAGTTTCGTACTGCCTACAGTGTCCTTCATTTACTAAAGCAACACATTCGAAAAGTAGCCTAACAGAGAACAGCAAGATACTTGAAAATTAATGTGGGTTATATGATGTAATTGTGTACAAGCTTTATGAAACAGAAGTGAGGCAGCTAATGTCGACGAAGCCTTCCTTTCTGGGTGTACCTTTATAAACACACTGCCTTACAGATAAGACAGTTAAAAAGCAGAAAGAAGTACTGGCTGTACACTTCAAGCAATCCAAGTGGTATCTGGGGGAGGAAGAGGGGATGATCCTGCAGTCCTTGCTCATATTATACTTGCCTTAAGGCCCAGATCAAGCTCTCCTACAACATCCTTGCAAGATTCCTGAACTACAGCAAAACATGGAGAGTTTAAAAAAAATCCAAAAATCCCTCACAGGATGGAAATAACTTGCTATATAAAGACCACCCCATTTCAGGAAATGAAAGTAATTTAGAAATAACCAACCAACTGTTACGAATGCATGTGCAGAATCTAATTAAGGAAGGTTGTAGAATTAATAGCCTTTGTTTTATCCTGAGCACCTGAAGGGATCCTAACCAGTGGCCTGAAGTGCACTGCCTGGCTTTCTGCACGATAGTTGCTCAGCAGGCGTTAAGTTAAAATTACTCACGACAATATAGCGAATGTGACCAACGTGATCATCAAGCAGAAGATGGACAGAGCACAGCCAATGTAAGTGATGGAGGAGAGGGCCACCTGGTGTTCTCTTGTTAGCTGTACACAAAGAAAAAAAATGAAGTAAAAACTATTAATTGATTTATTACACTACAGAACCACAGGGCACCCCCCTGCACATAGCGTTTCCTCCTCCATCCGCCCATATATAAGCTGATGTTCGCAATCGTTCGCTGCTGTTTCTAACATGGGAAATGAAGAGCCAACTCCAAATTCAGTCACATAGGCAGGGCATCCACATGCCCATGGCATTTTGGTTCCCTCTTTTATTTTCCTAAGTCAGTATTTCCTCAGAATCAGGTAGTTTCTCTGCTGCTACGACATCGTCAAGCCTGAGATAAGAGCAGTTTATTGAGCTGCACAAACAATGTCAGCAATGGGATCTTTCACAGCTCGCCGGGCACTTTGCTAATGCTCTCATGCTGCAATAATTTACATCATTGTGCAAATACCAGAAGTGCTTCACAGCAGTGAGAACTGACAAACCAAGATAACCCATAAATCACGGGCCATTTATAGCCCACTTGTTTTGTTTAATGTATCATGTTTTCGGTGCCTGTTGTAGGGCCTGGACTGACATCTACAGAATAGAAAACCACAGAAAAGATCCAGCATGAGCAGTCAGAGTGTAAGCCTCTCGTCTCAGCCTCTGTTTTTACCTACAGGCACCTTTCGTAGGCATAATTCAATTTTCATGAACGTTTAATTTGTAGCTCCATAGTGCTCGCCACTAGGATTTACGTTAAAACCTGGGTAGACGCAATGAGGGAAGGAAAGTGTGTTTTGACCATTCATCCTAAATTAATCAGAAAGTGTGCTTTAGTTTTCCATGCAAGTTCTCGTAAAAGAATGACAAAAAAGCCACACCCAACAAAGGGAGCCAGGCAGTATTAATATGTAATAAGTAGAACAGAACTAGGCAAAAAAAGTTTTCTCATCTCAGAAGAATTTTCAAACATTTTTCCTGACTTGAATTTGGACAGAGTTGTCATTTTCATAAACTGCAGATATAAAAAAATAAAAAAATAGTTGCCAAACAAAAAGATTTCATTTTTATATTTGAAATACTATGTTTTTATTTCAATGCCTTTTCACTATAAATTAAATTCCTAGCTGAAAACTCATTCCAAATATTTATTTATTCTGAAAAATACTGAAAGGACCAATATGTTTTCTGATTTTTTTACAGTAACTCTATCTAATAAAAAATAATCCTTTCTCACAGTTTGGGATTTTCTATTCTTTTCCCCACACACAATAAAAATTCCGCCCTAAACGAAATATTTCATCAGAGATTATCAAACCCAATGAGTTTTAACAATAAGCTTCTCATTAAAATTCCTTTTAAAGGACAGAAATAACATGCCGTGTGGTTATGAGAAAAAATATCTTTTTTAATACAGACAAAAATGATGTGTTGTATATGTACATTTTTCCTGTAATTATCTGCCAACAGTATCAGCTCACGTGCAGTAACTTTCACAGCAGAACAGACTGTGGCTCGCTCAGCAATCTGAGAACTATTAAGTGAGGCAGCAGCAGCACTGAAAGACAACTGTTGCTATGGTATTACAGTTCCGAGGAAATATGATGCAGCTCTTCAGTATTTTTCTCTTTCAGCCAAAGACACATTTCTTTTCCCTGACTTGGATAGCATCAATTACAGAAACAAAAGGGTTCTGTGTGCTGGACCAGCTTAAAAGATCTGTATAATTTCTAGAGAAGAGCTTCTATTGTCCCTCTTTCCCCAGAGAAGCCATGTATAGCCATGCTTCACAGATTATTCCTGGAATAGGAATAACTTCTGTGGTAAATTGGGCAGTTTAGAAGCTATTTCCTCAGTAGGGATATTCATGTCCAAATGCATGGACCTTATTTCCTGATTGCTCCAATACACATCCCTTTTTCTTACTACAAGTGGCTTGCAGTTCTACAGAGGGAGGCAGAGAGCAGGGGAAGCTTTTCCAGCTTAAAGTCACTCCAAAATCAGTATTTCTCAGCAGTTCAAGGCTTGCTTTCACTCCTTTAACTCCCAGCACCTGAAGCCAGAAAATGTTCCCTACAAAGGTCAAAGCTGCTCAGTGCTCATTTCGATTTGCAGTGGGCTGTCACAGTGTTTGCATTGGCAAAGGCGGATAAGATCTGCAAAGGAAAGGCAATGTCTTACTATCGCATACAAGTACAGAAGATACAGGGGATCCATCTAGTGGAAATGGGCAAAAATCAAAGCCTTTGGTTTTTTCCATAATACATCCAAGAGAAGATGATGATCACACAGAAACCTTTTTCTAACTGGTTTCTGTTATAACATGGCTCTAGGAAAGTCTTTCTCTGGGTTTTAGCTGAGTCTTCCTCCAGAAACCCCTGCAGGGCAAGACAAGGCATGGATCAAGATTCCTAAGTGGAGCCTGTATTACTTAGAAACAAAACAGGGAAAAAAAAAAAAAATCTCGTATAAACGAAATACAGAGGATTCATTCAAACCTAAAATAACCTACATAGGTCCCCACATCTATGAACTGGAAATAGCTCTTGCTCTGGTAAACAGAACCAAAATCTGATGATGCTTTAAGAATGCCTCTCTTAAATCAATACCCACATGAGTCTGGTAACAACTATTTCAAAAGCAACATCACTATAGTTCACGTTCTCGTCTTGCCTAGTGTGAGGGACAGAAAGCTCATAGGTAGTTCTGAACTATTTTTTGTTTATTAAGGAGAAGATGGAACCCATGATAGCTGTTCTCAAACTGAACTGTCAGGCTGGAGGGGTGCAAGAGAGCAGTCCCTGTTCGCAGCGGCTCCAGACGGCGAAACCAGCGCCTTTCTGTGGCTGATATGAATTGCAGGAGGAAGGATACAGCATGAAAAGAAGGCCGGGGATGATTTCCAGGGTGTGGAGCCTCATTTCTAAACACAGGTATAATGGTGCAGGAGAGAAGAGAACCTGTATTTTAAATAACAGGTCTCTACTAACTTCTCACAACCCACCTATTACAGCACAGCTGGATGTTGTGTGTCTGTGTTCACGTTGTAAGGGATAACAAGCATGCAGTTTAAATACCTGGATTGTCAAAGCATTGTGCATCATCAATTAAGAAACAATTTCCTGTAAGTTCCAGTGCTCTGATATGAGCTGATTTCATCTTACCTCAGTTTGTCTTTTTGAAGATTTTCAGACTTGTGCATGACATGGAAGGTAAGATAATAATTTGGGATGATCTTGTAGTCAGCACAAAAATGCTAATCAGGCTGTAATGCTATTACTAAAGAAAATAGCATTAAAAAAACCCAAATAAAATATTGAGCAATCTGTGAAGTAGTCCCATGAGCCTGATTCTCACACTTGTCCCAATGTACATTAAAGTATTCTTTTCTTTGAAAAGGTTTTGCTTCTTCGAGTTTATAAGGTCATTCTCTTACTCTGAAGCAAGCTGAAAAGCTAGGAAAAAAGCTCATGCAGTCATGAGTGTTAGTAATCATGAACACTAAAAGACAGATGTTTCTTAGTTTCAGCTTTGACAGTCAAATAAAAAATTCATACTCCATATAAAACTCACATCCTTTTAGTTTAGGCTGTAACACCCTTTAGCTTGCAAGTGGCACTAACAGCATGGACAAAAATCTGATGGTTTCAGTAGTTACACTCATCTGCAATATTGTAGTCTATTGTCTTACCCTTCTCTCTCATAAGAGAGGTTAGAACATTCCTCAATATTTTTATTTTGGAAACTCACAGGCAAGTGGATGGCCTGAGAAATTATCCTGGAAAGATACCAGTTCAGACTCTAAAGATATATTTTTCCTTTGTGATGTTGTTAATAACAAGAAAATGAGTGACATCTAACTCCTCTGTTTAAAAATAACTGCACAGGAAGATGAAAATATATTATTATAATGGCATGGTACTTTTAATCTCTGGAGTATCTGGAAAAGGTCAGTTAAGGCTGAAAGACTTGTTCAATAGGCTACACATGAAAAATTGTTTGATCTGTATCTAGAACAGAAAACCTAGTTATTTATGTAACTAATGAGCAACTGTATATACAACACAGCACAACAACCCATCAAAAAGCTAAACAGGCTACAGGAACACAAAACAGCAACTGGTCGGATCAAAGCATCTGTCTGGGCAACACAGGGCTCGCTCTGCTCAGTGTCCCCTTCCAGGTGTCCCCTTCCGTGGAGCGAAATTTGCACCCTGTTCCTGTTTCTCATTATTCATCTCTCAAGCAGTTGACTGCATGTTTTCTGCTTTGCCAAGGGGGTACTTCTGGCTTTCTCCAGAGGAAGGGACATTTTGGGGAAGTACTAATCTAAAATTTTCTTCTTTCCGTGCTGCAAAAACATCCTTCTATGTCTGCCTTTAGAGGCAACACATCAGACAAAGGGCTGAGTTCAAATGCTTAAAACAAGGTTTGTCATAGCTGGTCCTGGAAGGGTTTGTCTGTGTACCAAATTACAACTTCACAATTTAGCCACCAAAAGCAGTAATTTCATTGTCTAAACTACTTTTGAAATCTCCCTTCTGAAAAGCAATTCATCTTCTTCCAAAAAAAGACAAGTTCTTGAATTAAAAAAATATTTTAAAGCCTTACAAAATGAGCCCTGCAATCTAAAGACTGTATCATACCTATCATTTGTATTTTAATGCTACTTACTGGTAGAACACAGAATATGGTATTTTTGCATGTGCTTATACAGTGTATACATTTTATAAAAACAAAGTTATTTGTTTACTGGTGGAAATATAATCTATGACAATTGTATTTTGCCCAAACTTACATATAGGTATATATATTATATACATGTTGTATTTTAGTGTCCCTTTTGGTCAGCTTTCCATCTCAAAGAAGCTTCCCTGCCATGAAGTTACTTACAATGTTGTATCGTTTTTACCTGTTTATTGAACCGACTGAGATGTGCCATGAGACAGTCAGCCGCTGGCCTGGGCTGAAATCCACTCTCAGACCCTTCTGCAAAGGCTTGAAACAATTCTTACGAGACATTTCTTGGGGGGGGAGGGAAGGGAGGAGAGGT